TTCTTACTAACTTTTTTTGGCACTGATCCAGAGCCCAGCATCTTATAAATCTGTATTATCAGTCTCTGCTCAGGGCTGGAGCAGCTTCTCACGCCAATCACGAGAACAGCATGGAAAAAGGAAGGCAGGAAACTTTCAAGTGGGGAGTTTCATAGAAACATAGAATGGTCTGGGTTGAAAAGGACCACAACGATCATCTAGTTCCAACCCCCTGCCATGTGCAGGGTCGCCAACCAGCAGACCAGGCTGCCCAGAGCCACATCCAGCCTGGCCTTGAATGCCTCCAGGGATGGGGGATCCACAACCTCCTTGGCAACCTGTTCCAGTGCATCACCACCCTCTGTATGAAAAACTTCCTCCTAATTTTGTATCAGCAGGGCAGTGGTAGAAGTTTTGCCAGGAGGTTAGAGAGCAAGGGTGTTTAGGAACTTTTCACTACCTTCCTTCCAAAAGTAGACCCCCATCCCTCCCCACCATGCAGGTTTTGAGTTGGTGGTTATCCATCATTTGCTGTAGTGGAGGTAAGGACTTGGAAACGCAAAGTGATGGCAGCACAGCAGTTACAGGGTGCTTCAGCACAGGAGCGTCACAACAGATCATGAAAAGTAGGTGCTGTCTGGCATGTGGATGTGCCAGTGTCACTATTTAGCTCATTTGTAGATGCACTGTGTTCTCAGGATAGTGCAAGGGAGATCAATGTGTGTTTTTGGGACAGGTTATCTTCCTGTGCAGTCACTGAGGCACATTCCCAGCTCAGAGCTTTGCTCTCAGGGACTCTATTTTGGACTCAGTAAACTATCAGTATCCAGACATACCAATTCTACTTTCAGCAAGCCTCAGTCCTCGAATCACTGTAATCCCAAATGCTACAGAGGTACCATTTCATTTGTCCTCTGCATAACTCAGTGCACTAAGCATGAAGCAGGCAGGTGCACGGGTGCGTGCACTTCCAAGGAGAAGTGATATTCACCTGCAGGAAATGTTGGTGGGGGGGGGAAACAGATGCGTGTTGGTGATAGGGATGGGAAGGGGATGTTAAGTCATTAATTACTAAGCCTTGCATAAACAAAACTTAATAGTTTGAAAAGTCTGTAATTTAAAGGGAAGGAAAAATCTTTCATCTTCTGCTGCGCTGTTTAGCTAAGCGTCAAATAGGATGAACTGGAAGAGTTTTGTGATGATTTCTGCTTTATATATTGATTACTTCTCCATGGGTGGTGCCAGTGGGTGAGTTTTGGACTGGTGTTGAAGAGGAAAGGAGCTAAAGGGATCCAGGCTGAAAAATCTGGTGTGGGTGACCAGCCCAATCACTTCTGGTTAGTCAGGGGAGGATGCAGGGTGCAATGTGATTCACTTCTCCATGCACTGAAGAACCCATTTGTTGGCTGAAAGCTGGGAATGCAACCTAGAGTCTTCTGCAAAGACTTCCTGAACCTCTGTGGTTGTGATTTCAAGGAGAGGACTTGGTCAAAGTCCCAAGTGTGGAGAGTGAGCCTTCAGGGATGGCGGTAGGGGTTTGGTGCTTTCTTCTTCTTTCATTTCACTCTGCACTGCCTCCACTTCCCCCTCCTGGAAAATATTTTAGAAAATGAGAAGCTGGTAAGTTTGTGCTTGGTCCAAAACTAATTTTAAATGGAGTAGTTCAATCATGGAAGGTTTCAATTCATCTTTTTCTCGGTGTAAGCTGTACTAAAGATGAACCCAAACGTTACACTTTAGCACGTGCCTTTATTCAAACACAAGGCAGCTTTCCGAGCGAGGCAGTGTTAAAAGTTTTTGTCATCAGAGACACATTCTCCCTCCAGCTGCTTGGCGATGCTGCTTTTGTTTTCTCTGCTATTATTTTTTAATTGGCTGCTGGTATTTATTAAGCAGTGGATAGCGTGAGGGATTTCTGAACTCCATGCAGCAGAGCTGTGTAGGATTTTTGGAAAGCTGAATGGTGGAGAGAGGACTTCCCACGCAGGAGGCTGCTGCCAAAGAATTATCTTCGTATGCTCAGTGAGAATGTAATGCCGCTTGTGTCAGTTTTCTGTGAAATGTTGTTATAAATTTAGGCAAGATTGTTTACCCAATGTAATGCTAAAGCTGGAATACAGTTATATTTCAGTCTAGCAAATCTGCATTTTTGGCATAAATTACTTAGATATCTAGGAACAGCGAAATATATGCTGTTAAACATGTCAAATCAGATGATTAAATGACTTGATTGTTAGGAAGAAAATAGTAATTTTCTGAAAAGGCTTAATGAATGATGTGGCACAATGATCTGCAAGCATACTGAAGGAAAAAAAAAACCACCTTTCTTGAGGAAAATTTGCCAGCCGAGGAGCACGTTTTTATGCAGTAGGTAATAAAAGCAGGAGCGTGAGTGAAAATATTCCAGCAAATTGACAAGCTCCTTTCTTCCAGTGCAATTATTTTCCCTGCTGGCAGCCGAGTGGGTGGCTCTGTGTGGTTAGTGACTCTGTGGGATGCCAGCAGTCACTGGGCAAGGTGATTGCTTTGTGATAGCTGACCGTGCAAATGCTGCTCAAGATAAGCTGCTGCTCTGAAACGGCTCAAGCTTTCACGTAGGGACCTTAGATCAAGGAGAAAGCAGCTCTGTTACGTGGGTTACCTTCTTGCATCTCACGTGGAAATGGGATGCTGAAGCCAAGTGAGGCCGGATTTACCTGGGTGATGTTGGGTGAGGATAGATGAAGGCTTTGTTTGGGCCTCGTCTTGGCTGTGTTTGATGTGCTGAAGGAAGAAAGGGTTTGGTTTGACTTGGAGCCCAAGCTGAAATATTTGAGTGAACAGTTTGAATTGGCTGGTTTGTAGACTAAGCAAACGTAGTGTGTCAGTGGTTTTATATCAATAATGTGCAAGCCTCGTGCCTTATTTAGAGCTCCTTTGAGAAAGTCCATTTTGTCCCCTGCGTAGCACCCAGTGAGATCTCTGCTCAGTGAACGCATTATTTTCTTTGATCAAGAAATGTGTTCATCTGAGCAGTGGTGACAAGAAAGCAAAAATGAAATCAAAAGTTGGAAGTGAAGACCTTTCTGACATTATTTGAACTTAAACCGTGGCTTTGATGTTCTTGAGCTCCTCGTTGAGTGCTTAATGAAGCCTGTCTTTTTCTGTGTGAGCTCCGTATAGAACTGCTGCCCAAGCCCTGGCCACACTGCTAACAAGGATTTAAAGTGGAAGTTCACTCAGAAGGGGTTTTGCATGTTGTGACAGTCTGTAAGTTGGTACCCCGCTGGTCTCTGTGTGTTCCCTCTCTGGAGATGGGTGATCTGTGCTAGCAATCTGTGTAACAGGGTTGTGAAACAATCTTACTTTTTGGGTTCCCACAGGATAAGGACATGAAGGTGACACGGGATCAGCCCTGTGATCACCAATGGCTGCATGCCAAGGCCAGTGTCCCACCTTAACTTTCCTTCTGTCCATGCTGCTGCGAGGCCGAAGTCCTGCATTAGAATAACATTGCTGCAAGTGGTGGTGGACTGTCTGATCTGAGTCACTGATGTTGATCATACCCAATCCTCTGACCCAACGCATGTGCTTTAAAGCCCTGTTGCAAAAAACATGCTTGATTTCAGTGCTCAGCTCAGTGGCTGCTACGAAGCGTGCTGGAAATCTGCAGCAAGCAGATCCCAGGACAGCTACTGCACCAGCTGTCTGTGTTGTCCTCTCCTGCCCTTGTGTGCTCCCAAAAGTTGGTGCAGATGTGTTAGCGGAAACCTTGTGCAAGTCTTGCAGGGCTGACCAGAAACCTACTGCACATTCTCAGTTTTCTCTGCTGATTATGGCTTGTGCCATTAGAATGAACCACAGCGTCGTCTGTCAGATTTACTTAGGCTTATTTCTGAAGTTCCATAAAGCCTGTTTTACCAGACTGACTAATTCAAAGCATTTGTTCAAAGCTTTGCTGCTGCTTTTGTTACCACAGGCTCTACGAGAAAACCAAGATTCACTGCTGAAAGAGGTTGGTGACCGAGTACCAGCAGAAATGGTCTAGGTGCTTAATGCTGCCTTTGCCTCGGTCTTCAGCACCAAGGGCTCCCGTGTCTCTGTGCTCTGTCAGAAGGAGGAGAAAAACTATCAGTGGTTGGTAAGGGTCAAGTTGGGAATTATTTATGGGACCTCAACACAAGGGACTGAGTCCATTGGACCAAATGAGCTGCATCACATTTTCAGCAATGTCTGGGATCAAAAAAACAGAAAAGTATTTTCTAGTTTGCTTGGAGAGGAGCAAGCAGGTTTTTTCCTGGTGAGTTCTCCATCTTGTTGTCATGCTGGAGCACTCAGCCTTGTGCCTCCCAGAGGATCCTTACCCTGTATGGAAACTGCAGCAGAGCTTTTGTTTAGGTATGTGTTACCATTGAGGGCTTGTGTGCTGAGCAGCACGACTTCCAGTGTAGGAGAAGAGTCGGCTTCAGTGGTTTTGACGCAGAATTTGTAATGCAGTGTCTCAGCTTCAAATAGCCTCCATGTAGTGACACCCTCTTCGATACACATACAAAAGGAAGGAAGTTTTGCATCTGCAGCTGTCAGGAATGTACTTTGGCTGATGAATGCTGTCAGAGCTTAAAGGCGGGATCCCATAGCGGGTCAGTTAAGCTTTATTGGTCTGCCAGAGCAGATTATCATTTTATTTAACCAGAGAAGTGGTTTTCATTGTCACTTGATTGCCAAGGGTCTGTCAGCGTTTCCATTATAAACCTCCTATTTTCAGAGATTTTAGTAGACTTGAGATTTAAGTGTTCTGGTCTAAAACTTGGCAAGCATGGTCTGAGTTCACCAGCAGATATTTTCTTTGTGAGATTTTAACAGTCAGCTGTTTCTTAAATTGTAGAGAAGGAGAGGGGATTTTTTCCTCTTGATTAAGCAGATAGGACTATTTTTTTCCACCCTTCTTATTCCAACTAGATATATGAAAATAAAGCCCTATTCTTTTTACTTTTTCTTTCTTTTTTTTTAAAAAGAGGAAGGAAGAAAGAAAAAGACAGATGCCCTCTATCATGTTCTGTTGGCTGGAGGATAACGCCTCAAGGCTTTCCCAACCTCTGCTTCAGTGCATGATGGATGAAGTCCCACCCACCCTCTGCTCTTTCTCCTCCCCTTTACTTATTTGCCTTTGGTGTATTTACACTCTCACTATATTAAGTTGCAGCATTCCTTCTCCTTACTCCATTCCTTGCCTTTGCTCTGTGAAGCTTCCAGCACCCAATTGTGATGACTCTGAGTATTTTACTGCTCTCTAAAAGGAAACTCTGGGGTGATGCGAGGTTCTTGTGGTAAATATAAACTCTAAGGATTGCCTTTATGTTGTGTCTTGCTCTATTTGATGTACAGTCCTACTTAACTGAAGAACATAATGTGCATGCTCCTCAGCAGAACGTTGCAATTTTAACACTGCTTGGAGACTTTGCTGTGACTCTACTTTCACATTCTTTTTTTTTTTTTCCTTTGTTTAACCAAATCTTTAATGTCTACCAAAAAAAAAGTGAAGTGTGATTGGTGCAGATCACCACTGTGGGTTTTCATGGCTGGGCTCTTTTAGTCATTTCCTGAGAGCTCGGTGCAGAGCTGCGACAATGCAGGAAGCGGCAGCAGGCATAGTAAGGCTGAGCGTGTCGTTGGAGAGCGGCTTGCTGTAGGTGAGGGCTTGTCCTCCTTGCTGAGATGTAGGAATTGCTGGGATTGACGCTCAGGCTCTTCAGGAAGAACCTCTGCTGTCCTTTGGTCACTGCAGCAAAAATGATTTGGGCATGAAAATGCTGAGCCGGGAACTACAGCTATGTGACTTCTGAGTGATGAGAGATGCAAGTTAAAATCTGGAATTCAAGAGCTGGAAGATGAGTGCTTTTAAAAAGTATTACAGTCTCTCTCCCAGGGCCTTTAGGAGGTCTTTGTCGGAACAAGATGCTGGCACCGCTGCCTTGAAGGACTATCATTGGTACCACCAAATGAGAAGCAAGAAGGTGAGCAAACAAACTTTGGACCCAGAGAAAGCGCTCGGAGCATACAGGTGGCAAACACATCCTCGTCTTCCTTGGAGGATAAGCAAAAGAGCACGTTCTTGCAGCCTTAGAGGGGAAGGTAATGATTCGAGTCTTGTCAAAAGTTCTGCAAGCATGGATGCTACCAGCGCCGAAGATTTCCAACAAGATTCAACAGAGATGCTTTTCCAGGCAAGGACCAGATCGCTGCGGGTTCCCTTCAACCGCTCTCTGTCCGAACCCGTGCCGCACTCTGCAAACAGGAATGCCAAGCCCTTTCTGCAGTCGGTGCGCTCTGTGGATTGCGAGCAGCACGGCTATTTTGTCCGTGGCATCTTCTCAACTCTCTCAAGTGGCTTTTCAAAGATAATAAATCGAAGAGGGGAGCAGCCCCCCAGTGAGCCACTGGAGTGGAGAACAGACGATAGTCAAATTGACCCGTGCACAGGTAATGGACTCTGTTCTGTTATGTTCTATTTGTGTTGCAGGTGTGTATAATTATTTTATGGGTTGTATCACGGTTGTTTGAACCGGTTTTGAACTTTGCTGTTTGTTAAAGTAAGATTTGCAACCTTCTGCTGTTCTGCCTTAATTAAAAAAAAATAAGACTGGGGGGAAAAAAGGCCTTTCCTGATAAAGAAGTGGTGTGATGTTTTGGCATGCGCTTCAAAAACCTGAAGGTCCCTTTAAAACAGATGTCTCTGGAGGAAGCAGAAGCATTTCTCTCCAAAATGAACTGCGTGTGTGGTGCATGCAGTCCTGCGAGCGCAGCAGCCTCAGAGGAGTTGTTGTGCACTGATGGATGTATCAAGCCTGCTACTGTAGATGAAGTACTAGGAGGAGAGAAAGAGAAATAAAGCAGTCTTTTATCCAGTGTGCAAGGCAGTGGAATGGATCTAGTTCCTCATACCAGATTCACAGTTTTTCAGTCAATCAGTTAAATTGATGTCTGTTCTCTGTTAGATGCCAAGGACAGCAGTGTTACGAAGGTTTAGCCAGCTGGGATTGAGGTCAGCAAGATGCCATTCTGAGATTCCATTTAAATCTGCCCTGCTGTTAACAACACTCATTAAGCAGGAAAAAAAAAAAAAAGGGAAAAAGGGAGAAATTTGTCTTCTGTTCTCTTGGTCTTTTGTGGAACTTTCCAGTGGGGTACCCAGCCTGATCTGAGTGACCGAGGAGGCGTTAGGGGGAGGGGAGCAAAGTTTAAATTTATAATAAAAACAAACAGAAACCTTCCTTCTCTCCAAAACCTCCGTGCTTTCCAGAGTCCTCCAGATTATCATATTAAAACCTGGTAACATCTGGACCTACTTGGGACTGCTGGAAAAGCCATCCCTATTCAAAAAAAGAAAAAAAAAGAGTACAAGACGAGCTTGCTGTTGTTATTATTTGTCCCCACAGGTAGTGGGTCTGAGTGATGGTGGATTGTCACTTACAGGCTTATGTTTGCCACTGGGAGCAGTCTCATTGGTTTAAAATGCAAAACAAGCAGCCATAGACAAGCAGTGATGAAGAAGGACCATCTCCTTCAGCTTCCCAGGGTTTGTTCAGAGTTGCTACCTTCATTCGTTGCTTTGTATTCTTCCAAGACCTCAGGTAGAAAACTTGGCTTGGCAGTACTTGTTAAATTGAGTGAAATACATGATGGGGAAAAAATGAAGAGATGGCTACTTTGCTTCTGAACACATCTTGTTAAGGGTTTGGTTTGTTTCCTGCTGTTGTTGAGACTTCCTGAGAAGCTGTTATTACTGCAGGCTGGTCTGTTGCTTTGGACAGTTGATTTGGTCTCTGCCACCCTGTATATGTCAGCAAGCTATTTTGGGAAGGTGTTCTATATGACACAAGCATTTTGGATTAAACACTTGCAATCTTTAAAGGGCAGAGCGTCCTGTAGTTCCTTTTTCACACTGTTCTGGCGCTCTTTTGGAACAAATGGTCCTCTAATAATTCCTAAATTCTGTTGGTCAGCCAGGTGTTGGGGTGCTCATGGAAAGTAAAGGGCAGAAAAAGGTTATCTGTGAGAAGTCACCGCACTGTAAATATGTTGGTCGTGAGATGAGGGCGGAGCCTTTTGGCTTCTGGAGCCTGAATCCTCTGAGCTAGCCCAAAGTGATTTTACAGAGGGACTCTCAGCTCAGGAACTGAGAAACAACAGTGGGACTTGAGATTAAAAGTCAAACTGCCTCAGGGGAGGAAGTCATAACCAGGAAGGTGCTTGGGGAAACAAGGTTGTGCCGTCGTCACCTGCAGAGCTGCCTGAAACAGGCCCTGCTCTGGGACGGTTAGCTTCTGCTCTTCAAGCAAACAGCAGCTGAGGTTTAAGAAAACTCGTTCACCCCATAAGACATGCTGCTGTGTGGGTTATGTAGTCATGGGACAGCTAATCTCCTGTCACGGGATGTATTCTTCCTGAAGGAAGCTCGAGTTAGTTGGGCCGGTGGGCTCAGCCGGCCTGAGGCCTGGTGGCAAACTGGGAGCTCTGGGGGCTCAGGGCTGGTCTGAGGGAGAACCTGCAGGGAGAGCAATATAACCTGTTGCTGTCTTCTTCACCTGCAGCCTGGGTGCTCAGAAGTACTGAGCTCTTCTCTTCTACCACATACCTCACAGGCTGGGTTCTATGGGGCACATTGTCCACAAGCAGTGGTGGTGCTTGGGTGGGCTGAAGGCATCTTCCCATGCTTGCAGTCCTCTGTACTGCAAAAATGTAAGAAAACTGATTGCTTTCCTGTGCAAGAGGTAGAATTTTGAATCCTTGGGCTGACAAAGGCGGTCTGCCCAGACTTTTGACTTGCCAACAGATAGTGTGAGACACGGGGCTTTTCCAAAGTGTGTAAACAGGTTAGCTTGGAAGAGCTTGATCAAAAGTCTCCCAGGAAAGATCTGTTTGGGCAGAATTTCTCCTCCAAGGAGAACCCTTCACGTGCTGTTGAATGCCCAGACCGAGAGGCACGCTTTGGAGTTGAACCAGAAGAACCTGAAGGTGCTTTCAGTTGCCTGTCCAAGGAGCCAAGCCCTTTAGTTACTTCATTACAAGCATTTCCACTTTCCTCTGAAATAGTTACAGATTATCAACTCATTTAAAAAAGCAAAAAAAACTTCCTTCTGGAGCGTGCCTGTCCTCTTGAATTCTGCTTTAGCTCTGTGCCAGAACTGCAAGGGCTGGGACCTCTGCATGACTTTGGGTAGCAGCTGCTTTGCTTCTGACCTCTGTAAACCTGGGGAAGAGCAGCTCCCTTTTGCAAGGAACGGTTACCTCCTGAAAGGGGACCGGTTGCTTTTTTGGCAGCTTGAACAGGGAAGTGGGATTAGAAAAAAAAAAAAATCTGGATAAATATTTTCCACTTGGTCTCACAGTCTAGGAAGCGTGTTCAGACACTGCTTCATCTCTTCTTGGCTGTGCATTCCCCTCCTGGGGAATGAAAGGATGCTGAACCTGGGGAGAGCTGCTCATCAGAGCTTTGCTGTGGCACAGGGCACCCTGCTGCCCATCTTATAGAAACCGTGTGGGGAAGGAGTTATGCAGATAGCTCAGAGCCTTGGACCTGAGGGTTGTCAGTGAGCTACTGCTCTCTATTGTATTTCTGTGTTGCCAATGACCCTTTAACGACCCTAAACACTGTTAAGAGTGGATTTGCGAGCAACTTCACAGATAACATTTATTTTGCTGTTCCTTCTTATCTGAATCTCAGGGCGGTGCAGGTTTAATTGGGGATTGATGACAAAATGATTCTTCAGTAGAATCAATTATCTGTATCTCAGCTTGCAGGATGGAGATAGTAAACACTGGTTTCTTGTATTTGATGCCCGTTTGGCTTCCCGTGGGCACTCTACTGTTAAGATTTTTATAATGACACTTCCTGCAGAATTATTTCTTTCACTTTTTTTTGACTTGTATGATGATATGTTTCTTCAGTCTTATCACTTTGATGTCATGCTTTAATTCATTTTAGAGGGGTTCTTGTGCCTAGAGTCAGAGAGCACAGTCTATATCTTTGCTTTTCTGGAATTGTTCTTTTTTGTGTAACTCACAAGAGTTACTCAAGCTTGGTGCTCTTCATTAATATCTCTACAGTCTAGAGTTATTAAATTCTATGTTTTTATCTTCCCTTATAAACTGATTTAGAGAGAACCTGTATTTTCCCACTTGTAACTTGGTTTAAAGCCAAGCTGTTCCATTTTGTCAGTGATTCCCAAAATGCAAAACTATACAAAATGGAAATTCGGTATTTATTGCTCACTGGGGCAGCTTTTCTGTTTTCAAGTTTTTAGAAGCACTTTCTCATTTTAGAAGTGCTTCTACTGACTCATGTTTCTCCACCCCCAAATGTCGTTCTCTATTAAGTAGTTTATTTTGGTGGGGTTTTTATTAGGGAACTTTTACACAATTAAGCTTATGCTGTAATACGTCCATTTAAGTGCCGTGTAAATGTCAGTTTATCTATGTTCCCATGTGTTTTGTTGCATGCTTTAGTCTTAGCGTTTAAAGTCATTAACCTTTAATTGGCAGAACAGATTCAGAACATCACAGAGGGGTGAGGCACACAAGGGAGCATTCCTGGCACTTTGCAGCTTTGAACACTACTTCACCACTGTTCCCAAGTGGTTTTGATCTCAACCCAAGCCTGGTTCATCACAAGCACGGTATCGTTTACTGTGGGTGATAGGCTAATGCTATGCAGATGAATGTTTATGGTCACAACAGAAAATAATTAGCAGCGATATCTGCGGCTAATAAAACTTCTCATCTGGTGCTGATTATGCTTAACAAAGGGTGTCTCTAAGCAGGTAGTTGTGCTCATTTCAGCTTTGACTGTTGATTTTTTCATTCTTCTTAATTCCAGACCATTTTTTTTCTGAAGCCAAAACTTAACGTCTGCCGGGATGAATGAGGACATTTGTATTTGTGGGAGCTATTTTCTGACTCATGAAATCATGATGGGGGAATGGCAGAGTCTCACATTCCAGGTTGCTTTTTTTTTTTGCTTTTGTGGTCTGTGTCTGTGGGACTGCCAGGATGTCGTAGTTTTTGTGCAGAGCAGGCTGACAGCTGGTGCTTGCAATATTATCTCTGATTACCTTGATAATCAGAAATTATCTCATGGGAATTAATTATCTATGGAAAGGGTAATTGTGTCCTAGAGACATCTAGTCCTCTGGATTTTCTTTTCAGGGAAGTAAGGCTTGCTTAGAAGCAATCAAGGAATGATAGTGTGGGGATTAGGAGAAAGAGCTCTCCGTTGAAGTTAAGGGTTTGGTGGGAGAAGCTTTTCCTTTGATAGCAGGACAGACAGGGCCTCGAGGAAATGGCTGGATGAAGAAGTCGCTGCTTTGCAGAGGAGGAGCTGTATCTGGAGAGCAGTTGGGGCTGGAGTCTTCAGCAAAACTTCATGTTTCACCCACTGATTCTCTGGGAAGAGAAACACCAGCCTGGGGTAGGAATGGCTC